TGAGAAGGACCCTCCCGTGTTCAGGAACCCACCACTGCGGCTGGTCTTCGCCGAGACCGCACCGAGGCCGCCAACCGCCCAGCGGCCAGCCTGGCTGGAGAAAGGCGCAATCTCTGCAGGACCGCCTGCACCTGCCGAGCCCCAGGAAGCAGGCCGCCACGGCCCTCGGGCCCACGCGCCCAAGGGCCAAGTGAGAGCACACGGCCCGCTCGCCCCGCAGCCCTGGGCCTCCCGGGCGCACCCCGGTCCCCGGTCCCCACCGTGCCCCGGCCTATCGCCTCACGTGACAGGCGTCGTCCACCCTCCAGCCCGGGCGTTCACGCAGCAATAGTGGCGGGGGTCGCGCCACCGCGGACCAGGCCCCGGGGCCTCACCATGGTGAGCTCCGCCGCTGCCCAACGCTGCTCCTAGACCTCAACCGCCGCCACAGACGCCACGCACCCAACTGCCGCCGCCGCAGCCGCCGAGCGCACGCTGCCGCGGATTGGCCCGTCGCTGCCCAGCCGCCCATTGGTCCGCAGCGCCTCGGGGCGGGCCGAGGCCTGGAAGCCCACTTCTGATTGGCCGTGATTTGACTCACGGAGCATGGCGCTTTCTGATTGGATGGGGCTTTGGCGGGAAGGCTGCGCCTAGCCAAAGGCGGAGCATCTTGGTGCGTCTTCGGCCTTTAAGTTGAAGTAGCCGCGGTTTCCCCTGCGTGGGACGCGGGACTTTTCCATGCATGCAAGTCCCCAACGTGCGAACGGCTTCGGGTCAAGACTGCACCAACTTGGGATGCCCGGGTGGCTCAGCGGTTGAGTGTCTGCCTTCGGCTCAGGCTGTGACCCCGGGGTCCAGGATTGAGGCCCTCATTGGGCTCCTTGCAGGGAGCCTGCTTCTCCCTCTTCCTAAGTTTCTGCCTCTGTGTGTGTGTGTCTCATAAATAAAAAAATAAAATAATTTTAAAAAAAAGATTACGCTGCCTTCCTGCTGGGAGCTCCAGGCCCATCCATCTGCTCGTTCCTGATTCAGGTCCTTGCAAACACGACTTGCCTCCAGGAGGCCAGCCCATCACCCACCTGTAAACAATCTGGAGGAGAGTTGCACCACCCACCCACGCCTGGCAAGCCCGTGAAAAAACCGCATGGAGCTTTTGTCGTGAAGATACACTGTTTATTGGTGTGGTGCCACCCAGGAAGGAGAACAGGAAACCAATACTCAAAGTCCCTGATGGCTCATAAGTGAGGGTTTTTATGGGTAAAATTTGGGTCAGAGGGTCTCCTGAGAAAGTGGACGGAGGCCTATGACCTCATGTTCACAGATGTTACTTTGTGACTTGAGTGCCTTCCTCTAGCCCCGGAAGTGTGCTCCATCTCAGGAGACTTAGATTCTGAAAAAGTATTTCTTAAGTTAGAGATTTCATTAGATACATCTGGTGATTTTGTCTGCGGTTGTGCTGATCAGCTGCTTAGAAGTGCCTAACTGCTTGTTTGGTCAGTAAACTAGTGAGGTCATGATCCTTTGTTGTTATTAAGATTTTATTTATTTATTAATGAGAGAGACAGAGAGGGAGAGAGAGAGAGAGGCAGAGGGAGAAGCTGGCTCCATGCAGGCAGCCCAAGCTGGGACTCGATCTCTGGTCTCCATGATCATGGCCTGGGCCGAAGGCAGCGCTAAACCACTGAGCCACCCAGGCTGCCCATCACATTTTATTTTTGTTAAGATTTTTTTTATTATTTTAGAAAGAGAGACAAGCAGGGGGAGGGGCAGAGGGAGAGGGAGACAAGCAGACCCCCTCTGAGCAAGGAGTCTGACACAGGGCTCCATCCCAGGACCCTGAGGTCATGACCCTGGCTGAAATCAAGAGTCAGATGCCCAAACGACTGAGCCACTCAGGCGCCTCTCACATTTTAAAGTACTATTTATTTTGCTGGTTGCACATATTCAGAGTAAAAAGTGTGGAAAATGAAGGATAATATAAAAAAAATAAAAATCATCCCCTCACCCACAACTGAGAGTTAAACATTATTAGTATATCAGAGTTTTTTAGTCTTTTTTTTTCCTGCATATCTACAGGTTTTTCATACTATTGGATCTAACAATACGTTGGATTTGTTTTTGTAACAGCTTTCTTGAGATATAATTCACATACCATACAATTTACCCATTTTTTAAAAGATTTTTTTTTTATGTTTAAATAATTTCTAAACCCAGTGTGGGGCTTGATCTCACACCCAGAGATCAAGAGTCACATGCTCTACCGACTGAGCCAGCCAGGTGCCCCATAATTAAAGTGGTGTACAAAAATAAATAAATAAATAAATAAATAAATAAATAATAAATAAATAAATAAATAAATAAATAAATAAAGTGGTGTACAATCCAGTGGTTATGTAGTATATTCAAAGAGTTGTGCAACCATCACCACAATCAGAACACAATTAGAACATTTTTATTACCTCCCAAAGAAATCCATGCCCTTTCACTGTCAACTCCCAGTCCCTCCCATCTCCCCAGCCCTTGGCAACTTCTTTATTTTTTTTTTATTCTTTCTATTTTTAAAAAAGATTTATTTATTTATTTATTTATATTTATTTATATTTATTTATGAGAGAGACTGAGAGAGAGAGAGAGAGAGAGAGGCAGAGACACAGGCAGAGGGAGAAGCAGGCTCCTCGCAAGGAGCCCGACGAGGGACTCAATCCCGGGACACCAGGATCATGCCCTGAGCCAAAGGCAGATGCTCAACCGCTGAGCCACCCAGGCAACCCTATTCTTTCTATTTTTTAAAGCAATCTCTACACCCAACATGGGGCTCAAACCTACAACCCTGAGATCGAGTTACACACTCTATGGACCAAGCCAGCCTGGCACCCCTGCCCTAGGCAACTTCGAATCTACTTTCTGTCTCTATAGATTTGCCAATTCTGGAAATTTAATATAAACAGAATCATACAGTATGTGGTCTTTTGTAAATGGCTTCTTTCACTTAGCATCATGTTTTCAAGGTTCATTCATGTTGTACCATGACACAGTCCTCCTGATAAACGATACATTCCTGTAGTAGCACGATACTTTTTTCCTTTTTCTTGTAAACAACTTTATTGAGCTACAATTCACAAATCATGCAATTTATCTATTTAAAGTGTACAATTCAGTATGTTGGCAAATTGAATTTAAATTTTAAAAGCAGGGATCCCTGGGTGGCGCAGCGGTTTGGCGCCTGCCTTTGGCCCAGGGCGCGATCCTGGAGACCCAGGATCGAGTCCCACGTCGGGCTCCCAGTGCATGCAGCCTGCTTCTCCCTCTGCCTGTGTCTCTGCCTCTCTCTCTCTCTCTCTCTCTCTCTCTCTCTCTCTCTGTGTGACTATCATAAATAAAAAAATAAAATAAATAAATTTTAAAAGTGTAAAAAAATAAGGAGAAAAAAATAAAGGGTACAATTCAGGGGCTCCTGGGTGCCTCAGTTGGTTGAACGTCTGATTCTTGTTTTAGGCTCAGGTCATGATCCCAGGGTCATGAGATCGAGCCCTGTGACAGGCTCTGTGCTCAACAAGGAGTCTGCTTAAGATTCTCTCTCCTGGGATCCCTGAGTGGCACAGCGGTTTGGCGCCTGCCTTTGGCCCAGGGCGCGATCCTGGAATCCCGGGATCGAATCCCACGTCAGGCTCCCGGTGCATGGAGCCTGCTTCTCCCTCTGCCTGTGTCTCTGCCTCTCTCTCTCTCTCTCTGTATGACTATCGTAAATAAATAAATAAAATTTAAAAAAAAGATTCTCTCTCCCTCTGTCCCTCTCTACCCCTAAAATAAAAAAATGAATCTTTAAAAAAATATACAATTTAATTACTTTTGGTATAGTCAGAGTTGTGCATCCAATACCACAATTTTATTTTTTTATTTTTTAATTTTTTTTAGTTATTTATGATAGTCACACACAGAGACAGAGAGAGAGAGAGAGAGGCAGAGACACAGGCAGAGGGAGAAGCAGGTTCCATTCAGGGAGCCTGATGCGGAACTCGATCCCAGGACTCCAGGATCATGCCCTGGGCTGAAGGCAGGCACTAAATTGCTGAACCATCCAGGCATCCCAGAACATTTTTATCAACCTAAATTTCATTCCTTTTTGTGGGCAAATAATATTCCATTGTATGCGTATACCATATTTTATTTATCCATTCATCAGTTGATGACATTTATACCTTGTAGATATTATGAACAAAGTCTCTGTGGACATCTGTGTGCAAGTTTTTGTGTAAATATATGTTTTCATTTCTCTATGATCGGAATTGCTGGGCCTATGATAAACTACATATTTAGTATTTTAAGGAACTATCAGACAAACCATATGATTTTTTATCCTGATTTTCTCACTTAACATTAACCATGTACATTTTCATAACTTGTTAAATATTCTTTGAACACTTGGCTTTTAATGTTTGCAGACTTCCAAATCTTAGCCAATTCCCTGTTACTGGGCATTTAGATCATTTCCAACTGAAATATTATAAATAGTATTTCAGTGAACACCTTTGGGCATCAATCTTTTTATGCAGCTCTGTCTACTTCTGCAGAGCAGATTAATCAGACCGTTGAATCAAAGAGCACAAGCAGTTTTAAGGCTCTTGGTGTATAATGACAAATTGCCTTCCAAAAAAGTTGCGTCTGTTTGCATTCTGGCAAGTTCAGTTTGTACTTTCATTGTCTCCCAAGGTCACCAAGGCAGGACTTTGGACATCTTTGACCCCATACCCAGCTCAATGTGTAGCACATGGTACAAGTTCATGTTACACAAATTGGTGTGACCAAAGGAAGGCCCAGGCTCTGCACTGACAGAGGCCATGGGATGGAAAGGAGAATACAGGTGTCTGAGTCATTGTGAAGATAGGCTCCACAGGACTTACCACCCGGTTGACATGGGGGATCACTGCAGACTCAAGTGGTAATGAGGCATCGTGAAGCCAAGGACCCCCAGCACTGAAGTTGAAGTGGCCAATGTGAGATGAGGAAGCCACATACCACAGTCACTTAGGGGCAGATGCTGATAGGGACTCTTTTTTGTACTACAGTCCGTGGGCAGCAGTCTTTACATGGAGTGCTGGAAGAACTTCCTTCACGGAGCTAGTGAAGTCATCAAACTCTCTGTCCACTTGGATATCCTGAGAAGAAATGCATTACAAAGCAGTACATCATCACTTTTTGAGAACTTTACTGCTTTTTACTTATACACATAGAGTTTTGAAGAAACTTCTTAGGGGATCCCTGGGTGACTTAGCGGTTTAGCACGTGTCTTTGACCCAGGGCGTGATCCTGGGGTCCCAGGATCGAGTCCCACATCGGGCTCCTGCATTGAGCCTGCTTCTCCCTCTGCCTGTGTCTCTGCCTCTCTCTCTCTCTCTCATGAATAAATAAATAAATAAAATGTTTTAAAAAAGAAGAAGAAACTCCTTAGGACAGCTTCTACACTATGGATGACAATGTCCTTACTCGCCAAACCATTAAAATAGAGAAGGGAAGGGGCTCCAGGGGAGCTCCTTGGGTCTGCACTATTTCTTGATCTGGGGGCTGGTTGCATAGGTGTGTGCTGTTTGTAGAAAATTCACAGCCCTAATCCATGTGCACTTTTCAGAATAAATGTTATTCCTCAATAACAAATGAAGACCAAGGGGATTGAGGGAAAGAATACTAGCACCAGTGGGGTCTGTCTCTACACAGACCTCTCCTGTGGGGTCTGCTAGCTCATCCCCTCTTCACGATGGGCCTGGCTGGGAGATTTCAGCCCCATTTCACCTAAAGACAAAGCTGAGCCCTGGAAAGGGTTTTACATGAACTGTCAGGATTTAGAAGTATTTCCCTTAAACCGCAAGAGAAAATCTAGGCTGGGGAGATTAATTAAAATGAGCAAAGGAACAGGGAAATAGAACATTGCATCTAAACTAGTATCATTCTCCAATTCAGAATATCCCATGTTGATGACTCAGGATTTGGTCCCAGGACTGTCGGACTCTTACCTCTGTGGTGTTTCCATTACATTAAATCTCCTGATAATAATCATACTTTATATTAAATAAGCACGTATATTTGCAGAACCATTTCATATATCATTCCTTTATTTGTTTTTTTGAAATATTTACTTATTTAAGTAATCTTTGCCCCCAACATCATGGAGCTTGAACTCACAACCCCGAGATCAAGAGTCATATGCTCTTCCAACTGAAACGGCCAAGCCTCTCTCTCTCTCTCTCTCTCTCTCTCTCTTTTAATGATAGAATCCAATGCTGACAGGAATTCTCAGAACAGAAGGAAAATGGTCAAGGCAAGCTAATCTCTGGGCAGGCAGAAGGAAGTAATAAGGCTTTCATCAGTTGTCCAAAGCCTGAGGGATTGGAACTGTAAAAACACGTCTTTGGAAGGTTTTGACTCAGATCTGGGTTGAAATAAACCAGAGTTAGGGACACCTGGGTGGCTCAGTTGGTTGAGCATCTGCCTTTAGCTCAGGTCATGATCCTGGGGTCCTGGGATCAAGCCCCACGTGGGGCTCCCTACTCAGCGGGGAGTCTGCTCCTCCCTTTCCCACTCTCTCTCCTTGTGGTCTCTCTCTCTCTGTGTCAAATAAGTAAATAAAATCTTTAAAAAAAAAAAAAAAAAAAACAAGGGATCCCTGGGTGGCGCAGCGGTTTGGCACCTGCCTTTGGCCCAGGGCACGATCCTGGAGACCCGGGATCGAATCCCACATTGGGCTTCTGGTGCATGGAGCCTGCTTCTCCCTCTGCCTGTGTCTCTGCCTCTCTCTCTCTCTCTCTCTGTGACTATCATAAATAAATAAAAATTAAAAAAAAACAAATAAAAATAAGCGTCAGATCCCGATGTTTTCACCACATGCAACCTTTATTCAAACTCTCTGGCTTAGAGCCCCTTTCTATTCTTAAAAATTCTTAAATTTTTCAGAAAGGCTTTGTTTGTATAGGTTAGAGCCATCAATACTTACCATCCTAGAAATTAAAACAGGAAAAAAAATAAAAAAGAAACAAACCAAGGTTAGAATAAGCAGTGATTTGTGACTAGACTTCCTTCTAATACTTCTATTTGGGGATTCTCTCCTTAATGTTTAACTGCTTTTAATTTTCTATATTAAAAAGACACTGTCGAATGAAAAGGAATCTTAGTCTCCCTGAAAGCCACATAAGTGAATCTTCCAGCACCATGTCCACCTCCAGGCAGAACACGCCAGGTGGCAGGGTGAGGTGCCTTACAAGTACTGAACCTGCATATCCAAACATCAGAGAACACTGAGCTTTGTGTCCTCTGAGCCACCTATTGTCTCTCAGCCAATGACAACCCCAGACACTGTTGGAGGTGAGGCCATGGCGATACCCCCCTCCTCCGGTCAGGCATGGGAGCAGAGCCAGAGTGGCACTGTGACCTGACATTAAGGCCTGGAGTGGAACTCAGGCCCAGCCACACTGAGCATCCGGGCAGGGCACTCTATTTCTCTAATCCCCACTTTCTTCCTCAAAATGATAATGTGTGGGGCTGTTGGGAGGATCATAGATGAGATTTATTAAAAGCCCTTACAGAGAAATCCAGAAGTTCTAGGGCAGACATTGAATTATCCCGGATGGACTTCAGAACTCCAAAGCAGCCTTCACCTCGTATGGGATTCCTGGAGATCTGAGAAACATGCATACAATTGAGCAAAACCGAGCCCAGGGAGGCTAGTGGAGCAACTCAAAAGGGAAAGAGGGCTTCTTCGTATCTGATGACAAGTGGCTCAGGACAGCCCCATTTTCCCAGCTCAGAAGTTGTCTCCACTGACAGAATGCCCTGAGTGAGGCTGTGGGGCCAGGGAAGAGGGGAGAGGGCGAAGCACTGGCTGAGCACCCACCCTGTGCCCAACTCTGTCCTGGGTGCCAAAGATACAGACACACAGGGCACATCTTGCCTTTAAAGGGCTCACCTGTCAGGGGGAAGAGAGGAAAAGGAAACGTCATGAAAACGCAGTGCAATGAGAGTGTGCATCAGCTCTCCTGGGGAGGTAAAGCTTAGGCAGACGATCAAACACCTGCCCTGAGCTTTACAGGTGAGGTGGACAGAGTGGGATATTTCGGCAAGGAGGGCTGGAGGAGCAAAACAGAGGGGAGAACTTGCACCATGTGCAGGAAATTCAGAGCAGCTTGCGGGGGGAGAGAATGAGCTTCACAGGCAGAAGGCAGAGGGTTTTTAGCAAAGCCCAGAGCCCAGGATGTAGTGAATGACGTGCTACTCAGCTTGGATTTATCCAGAGGGAGCTGCTGACAGATTTAAAGCAAGAGGGGACAGGAGCATGTTTCTAGTTTAGAAAGATCACCAGGTAGGTAGGAAGGAAGGGCCAGAGATGGGAAACTAGCACAGAATGTGAGGGGAAGTGAGGAGTAGACAGCCTGAGTACTCTGCAGGAAGGAAGGTGAAGGATGGAAGATGTGGGAAAGAGAGGGAGGGGTAGCATGGGGCCCTTGCTTCTGACTCGATGGGGAGCCCCTCCCCTCCAGGAAGCAGCCCCTAGAGAGAGGTGATGCCTTCAAGTTGTGCTTTGTGCCCATGAGACATCCAGGGGACCGTCCAGCAGGTGGCTGGAAATGGGGATCCAGAGCTTAAGAGAGGTCTGGGTTATAGGCAGGGGTCGGGGTGGAGCGGTAGGAGAGGAGTGAGCCTCAGGCTGGGGATGGGAATGCTACAGGGGGCTCCTCTGTCAGTTGAGGGAGCTGAGAGCCAGGCAGTGCTGGATGCCCCCTGGACCTGACAGTACTGTACTCTGAGCACTTGGTGATGGCACAGTGGCCCTCAGGGGCCTGCTATACCCTCAGTTGCACCCTCCCTTCTCTGTCCTCTGCTCTCAGCCCTACTTAGCCATTCCTACCCCACTGCAACCCTGAAGGAAGGGAACCCCTGGTGGGCACACGAGGCCTCCGGTAGGTCTGAGCATGGCCAACAGTACACCTGGGCTGACCCTGTGGCCTGAAAAAGAATAAGGACAGCTGAGAGGTGCAGTGATACCACTGGGAGGGAAGGATGGGTGAGGAAGAGTCTGAAGAAGTGCATGGATGATTGAAGAAGGTGGGTGATTGAATGGCAAGGGAAAGAAGTGGTCATAAGAGGAAGCCAGGAGGCCCCCTCCCTTCTCTGGGCTCTAGAACCTGTGTACCCCACTACTAGAGGAGGGACATGCATCTGTCCATCTGTGTGGACATGTATAAGCAGGTCTGTGCTGGGGCCTCCCCCCTCAGGCTAGCACTCACAACAAGAATCCTCAGTGTCTGGTTGACCCGGAGGCCCAGGCCCAGGCTCAAGGCTCCCACTGCAGAGATGCGGTTGTTGCTGCAACAGGAAGACACGTGCATTTTGCTACCTTCTGAGTAGCTGTGCACCACCAGACTGTCCCAGGGTCCCAGCTGGTGTTGCTGGTGCATCCACCTGGTTAGGCTTCACGATCCAGCATCCACTGATGCCTCAGGGACCTTGGGCAGGTCACTATGTAAAGGCTCCTTCATTGGAGGCTCCTAGTGTTCAGGGAGATTGCTCAGCAAACACACTTAGAGCATTCTTCCCACCTTGTGGAGGCCAGCTGCTGCTCCCAGACCCTCAGAGCTCAGCAGGTCCTCCCACATGTTCTGCCCCAGTCAGCACCCCTTTCCTATCACCATGACAGCATCTGTCCTGGAAACCACCCAGCTCTCTCCTCCTGCTTCTCAAGATGGACCTAAACTCTGGCCCCAGCACCTCTCTTGGCCTCTTTATCTTGGAGCCAGTCCCACTACCCTCTGACCTCTCACACTCCAGCTCTGGCCTCACATTCCAGCATGTCTTGTGGCCTCTTCTGGCCTTGACTCCTTCCATGGGAAGGACAGAATTGAGCAGACCCTGCTCACTGCAGCAGCCACCTGCCCCCCTGGGGCAAGTGCTCAGCCACACAAGTCCAGGACCTGTAGGGCTTCAGTCTCTCTTTCTCTGTGGTTTGCGGCTCCTGCTCTGGTTACTTGCTGAGGCTGGGAGGAGCAGCTCACACACGTCATGTGCTGAGCAGAACATGAGCACTCACCCCACACTAAGCTCTGCTGAAGATTTTTGTTTTGTTTTGTTTTGTTTTGTTTTGTTTTGTTTTGAAGTAGGCTCCATACCCAGTATGGAGCCCAATGTGGGGCTTGAAGTCACCCCATGAAATCAAGATCCCAGCCGAGAGCTGAGATCAACATTTGGACACTTAACCGACAGAGCGACCTAGGTGCCTCCCTGCTGAAGATGTTTTACATGCATGTTTTCAATCCCCAGCCCCCGCCTGTGCAGCAGCAATTATGAGATGCAAGGTACAATGATGAACTTCAGTGAGAAAGAGCTGAGTCCTCTTGGATTGTGGCCCAAGCCCCATCATAGGTAGACTGTAATAAGTTTGGGAGTTAAGGTGGTAAACAGCAGCAGGATCATGGAGTCCCTGATCCCTTGGTGGCTTTGGAGTTGGAGGCTGTGACATGGGGACCACCCTATGCACCTCACCTCATGTTGAGTTCCTCCAACACATTGTTGGTCTTAAGTGCCTCACCCACCGCGGATGCTCCAGGATCTCCAAAGCCATTGTATGAGATGTCCAGGACTCTGAGGAAGATGTTTGCCTGGAATGCAAAAGAGTGAAGCCAGGAGACCTCCCGTATCGGTGGTCTGGGGCCATAGCCTCAGAGGCCAGGAGGCCCAAGGTACAAAAAGCACAGACTGAGAACAGAGGGTCAGAGGTTCCAGGTAAGAATCTTGTGGCTTGAATGATGGTGACCAGGAGAATTGAATGACTGGAAGCACAGCACCAAACGTGGGTGTGGGTGTGGATGTCCCTCAGAGACTGCCTAGCAGCAGACCCCAGAGAGGCAGCGATCCGGCTCCATGCCCACTTGGAGGACCCAAAGGCAGGTACTCTGAGGTACAGAGCAGGATCTCAGATGGGCTCCAGTGAGGGGTTGTTGGAGACTGTGGTGGGGAGAAGGGCAAGAGCTTGTGGCTGCAATGGGAAGACAAAGCCTGACCTACCACTTGTGGAGCAGGATCCTCAGGTCACCCTGGGGGGTGGGGGAAGCAAGGCACCTGCTGAGGGCCACCTGAAGAGGGCCCCACAAATGTAGCCAGTACCAGGGGCATCCTGGCAGGTAGGAGCCACTCATTCCCAAGGCTTACGAACCACAACATCTAAGGAAGCAGGTGGGATGTTTGAGAGCGTGTGCTGGGACCCAAGGGTGCAGGGTGTGTCCTCAGGGAGGCATCTGCATATGCCCACAGTGAGCATGTTTCACCAGACTGCACAATATCCCTCCCCCCAGCCCCATGTCTGTAATATCTATAATATCTGGAGAAGGTGTGCAACGCTCAACCCAAGACCCTTCAGTTAGTGTCGTGAGAGTGAGCCTGGTGTTTTGGAGTCATATAATGGGGCTGGGAAAATTAAAGTCACCAAACAAAATGTTTTTAAAGCTCTTCTTAAAAGATCCAAGGCTCGTTTCTGAAGACCTGTGAAGACAGGGAGCTGGCACCTGGGAAACCAGTCCCCATAGGACAGGCCGGAAGGGTAGATAGGCAGCAGGGGTCTTCATACCTCCAGTCCCCTGGCAAAGGCCACAGCTCCTGGTCCTCGAAGGTGATTCCAGCTTATATTAAGCTCAGTGAGTCCTGTATTTTCTGCCAGGGCCGGCCCGAGCATCTTCCCTTCAGAAACACCAAGACAGACCTTATTCTCTGTTCATTCCTTCAAAAAAGAATCCTGATGACTGTTGCATGCCAGGGTCTCTTTGGGACACAAGGGTCACTAAGTTGAAGCCAATATGGGCCTGCCCTGTCCTCAAGGAATTCACATTTAATGGGGGAGATACAGTTGTTCCTTGAACAACATGGGGATTAGGGGCACCAAACCCCTGTGCAGTCGAAAACCTGCATATAACTTTGACTCCCCCATACTTCAACTGTTGACCAGAAAGAAGACCTTGCCAAGAACATATAGTGTTGATTAACATGTTTTGTATGTTATACACATTATACACTGTATTTTTATAAAAAAGTAAGCTAAAGAAAATTTTATTTTTTGAAGATTTTTATTTATTTGACAGAGAGAGAGAGCCAGAGAGCACAAGCAGGGGGAACAGCAGAGGGAGAGGGAAAAGCAGACTCCCCACTTAGCAGGGAACCTGATGTGGGGCTTGATCCCAGGACTCCGGAGTCATGACCTGAGCCAAAGGCAGATGCTTAACCGATGGAGTCACCCAGGTGCCCCTAAAATTTTTTTATTAAGAAAATCATTAGGTTCCTGGGTGGCTCAGTTGGTTGAGTATTTGACTGTTGATTTCGGCTCAGGTCATGATCTGGGGATCATGAGATTAAGCCCCATGTTGGGTTCCATACTAGGTGTGGAGCCTGCTTGAGATTCTCTCTCTCCCTCTCCCTCTGCCCCTCCGCACTCTGCACGCTCCCAATCATTCTCTCAAATAAATAAATAAATAAATAAATAAATAAATAAATAAATAAATCTTTTAAAAAGAAAGTCATAAGAAAATACACATATAACACTGTACTGTATTGGGGACACCTGGGTGGCTCAGTGGTTGAGCATCTGCCTTTGGCTCAGGTCATGATCCTGGAGTTCTGGGATGAGTCCCACATTAGGTTCCCCACAGGGAACCTGATTCTCCCTCTGCCTATGTCTCTGCCTCTCTCTCTGTATCTCTCATGAATAAATAAATAATATCTTAAAAAAATACTGTACTGCATTTATTTTAAAAGGTGTATAGGTGGATCCATGCAGTTCAAATCCATGTTGTCCAATTGTAAATACAAATTAATAGGATGTGAACTATTATAGACTACATAAATGTGGAAATAAATAGGGTTAAGGACTAATCCTGCCTTAGGCGGGTGTCAGGAAAGTGAGGACAGAGGAGATAAATTTGAAGACTGAGGGATTCACCATATGTGTGTGCATGCACAGCAGAGAACACACACAGCAAAGTTTGAATTAATGGAGGCATGAGGGAGCATGGAACACTAGTGGAAATGCCCACAGGCCTGGAGGGTGGGTGGGAGCCAGTGAAATGAGGTAGGAGTAATGGGCACTGGAAAGATGCCAAGTGGCCTTCAATGCTGGGCCAAGGCTTTTGGGCACCAGCCAGTTAGTGGTGAGTAGGCAGGGAGGCTTTAAGAAATGACAAAGGTCAGGGATCTCTGGGTGGCGCAGCGGTTTGGCGCCTGCCTTTGGCCCAGGGCGCGATCCTGGAGACCCGGGATCGAATCCTACGTCGGGCTCCCGGTGCATGGAGCCTGCTTCTCCCTCTGCCTGTGTCTCTGCCTCTCTCTCTCTCTCTGTATGACTATGGTAAATAAAAAAAAAAAAAGAAATGACAAAGGTGGGAAGCCTGGGTTGCTCAGTGGTTGAGCCTCTGCCTTTGGCTCAGGTGGTGATCCCAGAGTTCTGGGATTGAGTCCCACATCAGGCTCCCTGCAGGTAGCCTGCTTCTCCCTCTACCAATGTCTCTCCCTTCTCTCTGTGTCTCTCATGAATAAATAAATAAAATACTAAAAAAAAATGACAAAGCTGAATTCCTCAGAGGTGGGTATAGGGAATGGACTGAGGTGGGTGGGAGCAGAGAGGAGAACCCAGGGCACCAGTTGGAAGGCTTGTGTCATAGCCTATAGGCAAGAGGTGATGAAGCTGGTGCAGCTGTGTAGAGAGGAGGCACTTGTGGCAGAGATAGGAAAGAGGGAGCAGTGCAGGGTAAGAAATCTTGAGAGATTTTTAGCATGTAAAGATGGACAGAAGAAGCCTCACCTACCCATCATGCTCTCCACTCTTTCAGGATTCAGCCAATCTGACCTGCTCCTAGTGCTCAAAAGCACCAGCACCGACATGACTCTGGGCTACCCCCTGTGTAGAACTGTTGGCCCCCCTCATTCACCTGGCTAATAGCTCCTCATCCTTCTAACCTGGGTTCACGGCATCAGGAAACCTTGCCTGCCCAGCGAGGCTGTGCTGTTTGGGCCCCATGTCCACCATGCTTCTATCCTCCCATGCTCTGGTTGAATGACCTCCCTTTGTCCAGCCAGTCTCTCCCACCAGCCTAGGAGTCCCTCAAGGATCTGAATTTGACCCCTCTCCATGGATCTGAATATGACCCCTCTCCACCTTAGCTCCTCATGTGGGTTAGAAAGGCTAGTTTGAAGAAATGCACAGAGGAAAAACAGATGATCTAACCGAGCATCTGACTAGGTTGCTCTGGGGTGCCTGGCTGGCTTGGTCAGTAGAGCATGGGACTCTTGATCTTGGGGCTGTGAGTTCAAGCCCCATCTTGGGTGCAGAGATTATTTTAAAATAAGTTCTGAAAAGAAAAAAGAAAAAAGAAAAAAGAAAAGAAAAGGAAAAGAAAAAGAAAAAGAAAAAGAAAAAAAGAATAGCCTGCTAGGCTAGAACCACTGCAGCAAGATACTTTAGCACCCTGGAGAGCTCCCTGCAAGGCAGCGGGACTCCCTGTGCAGCCTCCCTGGGAACAGGGCTCTGGATTCCAAACCCTACACTGGGTCTGACACCCGCTGATTCTCGGTTACAGGTGTACTTTCGCCCCTCCTGACACTTCTAGGGCTGGGAGGAGAGGGCAGTGGTCCTCACTTTCTAGGGAAGCCCTTTCTTTGCTGAACTAGAGGGTGAGAAGGTTCCTCTACGCACAAGAATCAGCCTCTTGAAACTCCAATGCTTGGCCTTCATGACCTCTGCAGCCGACTATGAGGTAGGTGCTACCTTCATTCACCATGGGTCAGATGGGGAGACTGAGACCCAAGCCCTTCACCCTTCAAGGGAGTTGGGCCCACCTACAGATCCCCACTTGGGAAAACAAAATGGTCCTGCTGAGTTTGTCCTTTTCTGAGCTGAGGTCCTCCTTAAAGCATATTTGCACCACCTTCAGAGGAGGCCTTAGCTTCCCTCCCCTCCATCCTGGCTGCCTCTCTGATGCTTGACTTTTCACTGTGAAGGCCCAGGGGGACATCTATACTTAGTGTGTTGCAAATCTGAAAAGAACTTGTCTCTCTTTTTATTTTTTAAAAAGAATCATTTATTTATTTATTTATTTATTTACTTACTTACTTACTTACTTATTTATTTATGATAGACACAGAGAGAGAGAGACAGAGGCAGAGACACAGGAGGAGGGAGAAGCAGGCTCCATGCTGGGAGCCCGATGCGGGACTCAATTCCGGGACCCCAGGATCGCGCCCTGGGCCAAAGGGAGGTTCTAAACCACTGAGCCACCCAGGGATCCCCTTGTCTCTCTTTTTACAAAAGATTTTGATTGTGTGTGTGTGTGTGTGTGTGTAAGAAAGAGAGAGCAAGAGTGACAGTGAGAGCGAGAGTGAGAGCAAGAGAGAGAGAGAGAGAGAGAATGAGCAGAGGGAGGGGCAGAGAGAGAAGGAAAAGCAGACTCCCCACTGAGCAGGAAGCCCAATGTGGGGCTCCATCTCAGGATGCTGGGATTATGACCTGAGCTGAAGTCAGAGGCTTAACCATGTGCCTCTGAACTTCTCTTTTAATTTCACAGACTTCTCATAATAAGGTAAACATGCTCTCTGGCAGTTAAATTCTAAGACTGATCTTGAAAGGCCAAGGTTGGTACCACTCCCACTCTAAGCTGCTTGAGACAGAATAATAATTCTCAAACTTTCTTGATCAGATAAATCTCCTAGGTTAAATGTAGATTTGCCATTGAAATGTAGATGCATGGGCCTTGCCCCACCAAGACTCTGGTTCAGCAGGTCCAGGGCCCAGAAATCTGAATTCCTAATTCAAGATCCCAGGTGATTCCTATAATTGATCAGAGTGATTAAGAACAGACAGGTAGAAGTACATGTTCCTGGCAAAGCAGATAGCTTGTGCAAAGGCCCTGGTGCATGCAATAAAGTGGTGAGATCAAGGAATCCCACCAATGTCTTCCACAGCAGTTGCAATAAAATCTTCATACCTTTTGCCAAGATTTGTAGGCCTGCACCATCCACTGTCTCTTCATCTTATAGCCTAGTCCCTCTCTCCTGGCTGACTAGTCCAGTCACACTGGTGTCTATCAGTCTGGGAAATAAACCTGCAGGTTCACTGTTCCTCTGCTTGAAATGTTCTCTCCCTGGTCTTGCCATGGCTGACTCCTTCCCACCCTGTTCATTTCAACTTAAATGTCATCTCAGAGCGCTCCCCAGCCACCACTCTAAGACGAGGGATCCCCATTCTTCTCTAGACTTGTGCCGTTTATTTTGTTGCATCAACAATTACGGAGAATTATCTTAATAGGTATTCCTCGAGGCCAGGGACTTTGTTTTGTTCACAACCAGGTCACTAGTGGCTAAATTAGCATCCGGCACATGCAGCAGCAGGCAATGGCAATCTGTGGAATGGATTAAGAGTTCTGTGTAGAAGGAGTGGGAGGGGGGCAGGCCAAAGTGGGACATGGGTAACAGGAGCCAGAGTATGAATGTTCAGAGTGGTCTTGCCAACCTCCACCCACCTCTGCCACAGGAGGAGGGGCTTGAGTGCCCCATGGTGGCCCTGGCCAGATGTTACCTGCTTGGTCATTCAGCTGGTTATAGCTTAGGTCCAGCGATTTCAGGCCTGTGTGGGCCAGCAGGAGTTCAGCAAGGTACTGGGCTGCATGCTCCTCCAGGCCATTCCCTGCCAGCTGTACCTTCTGCATGGTTGGATTCACCATGAGGGCAGCACAGACTGCTTGAGCTCCCACCACTCCCATCTGGTTGTCCGACAGGTCCACATCTAGGGGTTGGCAGCACTGCTCAGTCAGTGGGATCCAGAGGCAGGTACCACCCTCTTCCACCTTCTTCTATCCCCCAAGACTCCAGGCCTGAGGCAGTGGACAAGGCTATGCAGCCAGACTATCCTGCAGTTGCATGGTGACTCTGCCTCTCATCAGCTGCATCCACCCCTCCAGCCCTAGGCAGCTTCTCTGATGCCCGCACCCTCTCCATGCATCCACAGCTTCTTTATCAAAGGGTTCAAACTGCCTACTTCATGGTGCCGTACAGGATGCCTGCAATGGTGATGCAGCCACCCCAAGGATGATTCGTGCTTAGCAGCAGTATAACACACCCACAGAGTCTTCACTAATTCATTTCTGGGAACTGCCAAAGGCAGCCCAGGTGGCCATGCATGGAGCATATAAGTGAGCCAGGAGCTTTGCTAAGCACTTCACATATGCGGTTTCATTTCATACTCAGCACAAACTCAAGGACTAAGTGCTATTGTTGGGGCCATTTCACAGATTGAAAACTAAGGCTCAGCGAGGTGGAGCAGCTTGCGGGAGGGGGGGGCACCCTCTCTGTGACAGAGATGGCGTTGGTATCCAGCCCCACTTCATTCCCACACAACCCTCCACCCTCTCACATGGCCCATCCCCTGCCTCTCTGTTGGAGACTTCTTTCTTTCTTTCTTTCTTTCTTTCTTTCTTTCTTTCTTTCTTTCTTTCTTTCTTTCTTTCTTTCTTTCTTTTTTTTTTTTTTTTTGACTTCTTTCATTCTGCATTTAGGGAATGGGAGGCAACCACATGCAGAGGGGAGCTGGCCAGCAGAGGAGAGGAGGTGGGGGGGGGCGGGTCAGGAGAGGAATAGCAGGCAGCATTCCATTCGGGGCACCACAGAGAGTCTAACTCCACCCCCAACCACCCCACCCTGTGATGAGGCCCCTGCCATGGCAACACCAATACACCCCAGGTGAGAAGGCCCAGCCATGAGGGGGCCCACACCCCTCAGGGAAGGGAGGACTCAAATCTGCCCACCTGCCCCAGGCTCAGCACCTACCACAGATACTGCAGCTTTTGCTCAGGGCACCTGCCAGGGCCTCCACACCAGCCCCACAGAGCCCATTGTCTCGAAGGTCCAGTCGCTTGACATAGGGATTAGAGGTCAATGCTGAAGCCAAAGCCTGGGCACCCTAGGACAAAAAGGGGCCTGAAGGACCTGGTCCTTCCCAGGGGCGAAGGCCTCAGACACAGCTAGCCACTATCCTGGCTCATTTCCAGGGCACAGCCCTCTAACTGGAAAGCCTTTCCCTTCCCACATGCCCAGGGGACACTTTCTTACCCTTCTAGGCTCTGCTCAGACCTCACCTTCTGGAACTTTCCCTGACCATACCCCACTGCCAGCAGATTAGCATCTCCCAGCAAGCCCCTCAACCCTTACACTGAATTGTCATAGCCTTGATGCCTGCTGACACCCAAATGAGAGGATGGGATATGCCTAGCGTGCAGCAAGGCAGGGGAGTGTGTGGTATGGGCTCAGGAAGGGGCCACTCCCATGGCTGCTGCTTCCCAGGTCCTGTCACTCCAAGCCTGACCGCAGGGTCTCTCCAGGGTTACCTGAGGCCCCAGGCCACGGTGCCGCAGGTTCAGCTCTGGGGTGCTCCCTAGGTGCAGAAAGCGGGAGGCAGGCACAACACTATGGGCTTGGCAGGACCTCAGGTAGAGGGTGTCCTTGAGCAGTTCTCCAGGCCCCTGGATGCCTGATAGGAGACAGGGAGAGGATGAATATGGATCCCTTTCCAGACCCAGTCGCCTACTCCCCTGCCCTGTGTCACCATGCAGCCTGCATTTCCCTCTAAAGTCATTTCTCCCTGTGCTAGTAGGGACATTGAAGGTCAGAGAAAACAAATTCTTTCCCTAAAGTCACACAGCTAGTAGCAGTCAATCCTGGCAGAGTCAGGGTTAGGACTTTTCCTGTCTGACGCCAAAGTGCCTGCTGTGTCTTTTCTGCTGGATTACAGAACACCTATGTTTTGAGAATATTTCATGGGGGAAGAAACTGAAACAATTCTAAGTTCTAAATATTTATTGGCGGGGGATCCCTGGGTGGCTCAGTGGTTTAGTGCCTGCCTTCGGCCCAGGGCATGATCCCAGAGTTCCAGGATCGAGTCCCACAAGGGGCTCCCTGCGTGGAGCCTGCTTCTCCCTCTGCCTGTGTCTCTGCCTCTCTCTCTCTCTCTGTGTGTCTCTCATGAATAAATAAATAAAATCTTTAAAAATAAATAAATAAATAAATATTTATGGGCTTAGTTTTCCCTGTGGGTTGGGAAATCCTAGCCCTGATGTCGTTGCAGGGTGAGACACCTCTTCTCACACTGTTCTGCGGGGTTTAACGTCACTCACTTTGAGGCATTTTCTATAGTGGAACTCCTGTTGCCCCCAGGAGCATTGCGGGAAGGGCAAGGGGCCGGAGGGGCCCGCTGCTGTCCTGAAGGTGTCCCACGGAGGGGTGCGCTCCCTGCCAGACAGGGGCCCCTTGCCCACTAGGCCCCAGCCTGGCCCCTCAACCCCTGCGGGAGAAGTTCCCCAGGGGAGGAGGCAGGCCCGCCCCCATCCCTTCCCGGGAGCACCTTCCATCTCCCAGTCGGAGTCTGAATCAACGTCCGAACACTCCTCGGCCTCCGGGGCCTCTGCTAGACGCCCAGCGGCCGCCGCCTCCTCCTCCAACTGCTCTCCCCTCTCCCCAGACCTCTGGCAGGGACCCCTCACGCTTGCGCTCATTTCTCAGTGGTCGGCACTGAGGCCAGCACTGTGGGGCGCGGCGCCTGGAGCACCGCCCGGGGATGTGGGCGGAACCTTCGACGGATTCAACCAATCGAATGTGGCGCGCCGCGAACAGACGCCCGCTGCAGCCAATAGAGGCGCGCCTCCCCGGCGGCAGTCGCCCAGGCAACCCGGTGTTTTCAGTTGCTACGGAAACGGCCGCAGGCGTGGGCCGACCTTTAGCCTGCTACCAGGCTGCGCGGAGGTGAGCGTGCGCGCGCCGGGTTCGAGCAGAGCATCGCCCCCACACCTTTCACCGACTGGGGAACGTGGCTGACCCCGCAGCTGTGCTTTTGTCCCTCCGCTTCCCCGGCACGCGGCGCCAGAGAAGCTGGGGAACCTTGCAAAGCCGGGTCACCCTCCTCTGTGGAGCCAGAGTCAGGCTCTCACCCTGTGGCTGCTAGTTCTCATGCTCTAGCGTCGCACATGCTGCTTCAGCCACCAGGAACCTTCTTCCTCTCAACTTTGCTTGTTGAGCTTCAGAATCTGCAAGTGTCAGCTCAGAGGTCATTTCTTCCTGAAGCTTTCCTTGATTTCTCCTCTGGGCTCCTGCAGCCCCCAAGCTGCCCTCTCACAGTACCTGTGACACTTGTCTTCTCCTCCTCCTCTCCTCCCCCAGGGAAGTGAAGCCAGAGGGCAGGGCGCAGGGGCTGCTCCTCTCTGCCTGGCCCTGGGCCCCCTCAGAGGGAGAGGGTGGGAGGCTCAGGGCAGCTCCTTGCTGGGGCTGAACCTGGGGCTGGGGCTGGTGGTGGAGGCTGGATCCTGTCCCCAGTGGAAGTGTCCCTTTAATAGCTTGCTGGCCTGGTCCGGTTTGGGCGCCTGCTTTACCTCCTATTCAGCTGTGGCTGCAGCTGCTGTGCTGACTCATGCGCCCCAGGAGCCGGCAGGAACTGCAAGCATGGGCTTCCCAGGGGTCTTGGCAGGCTGGGGGCTTCTGGATTACAAAACCGAGAAGTATGTGATAACCAGGAACTGGCGGGTGGGCGCCCTGCAGAGGCTACTGCAGCTCGGGGTTATGACCTACGTGGTGGGGTAAGAGAATGGCCTCTGGGCCTGGCTGTCTGGGGGGATAATGACTGGTCCTTCTGGGCCTGTGGGTAGAGGGTTTGACTCTTCAGGGGCTGAGCTGGTGGTAGCAGAGCAGGTTGGGACAGGGGAAGAAGTAGGCAGAAGGGATGATCTTTTGTCTAGTGGCCAGTGGATACAAGAGCAAGCTATGTGCTTGTGTCCTCCCGTGTGCCCACCTGCCTCCTTTCTTGTGTCTTGTTTCCAAGCCCATATTGATGTCTGGGCACAGAGCAAGATGGGTCCCTATCTGTACCCAGGAGGCCCCTGGTGGGAGAGAAGGTAGTCAGTCCTTGATGCTTGGGAGAGCTGGAATACTAAAATTCCTATAGGGACCACCAGTTTTAGCTGAGTCAGAGGAGTCTTTGTGGAAGAGTTGGGCCTAACCAGGTAGAGGGAGGTTGTTGACCGGTGAAGGGGGTGATGGTGGGTATCTCCAAGCCCATGAGTGCCTGACAGGGGACATGCATGAAAGGCACTGGCTCTCTGATTGTGGTTGGACCTTTTGGGCTGTGCAGGGTGTTTGGTGTGGGAAATGAGGCTGGAGGGGAGGCAGAGGCCCTAAATGCTGGGCTGGGAGCCTGTGTGATGTGTGAAGAGAAAGGCCAAGAGGGTAGGGCCCCCTCTGCCACTCTTCACCCTGACCAGGGACATACCACACTGCCCATCGCTTCTTCCTAAGGTGGGCTCTCCTCGCCAAGAAAGGATACCAGGAGCGAGACCTGGACCCCCAGATTTCTGTCATCACCAAACTCAAAGGGGTTTCTGTGACCCAGATCAAGGAGCTGGGTAACCGGCTGTGGGACGTGGCAGATTTCGTGAAGCCACCACAGGTAGGTGCCTTGGTTCTGCTGCTAGGCGGTGACACTTCTGATACCACCCTTGCAGTGAGCATGTGCCTGAGAGGCACCTGATGCCTGAGCGGGATGCTGGAACGATCATAGGCCCGGGCTTGGGAAGGGCCTTACACAGGAGTGGTCCCTGGACAGGGTTTTCTGGGATGTGTGAGAGGTTTCTAGGTGGACAAAGGAGTGGACAAGGGGATGGACCAAGTAGCCACGCCAGAGGAACTGCCTTTACAAAGGCTGCACCTAGAAGAGTGGAATGTTTAGGAACTCAAGGTTTGAGCTTGAGGCTGGGGCTGGAGAAGCATGGGAGGCCAGAGCCTAGGGCTTCCTAAATGCTCCCCTCCCTGACCTGGGGCACTGCTGTCAGGTGCTCCTCCTCTGTCGCTCCCATGCAGTATTTCCAACTCCTTCCTCCATCCAGATTGTCTACAGTTTCAGTTTCTACCTTTATCCTACCAATGCCAAAACTGTAGCCCCATCAACCACCTACCCCCAGTACAGCTGCCTCCTGGCACACCTTTCCTGTCCAAAGAGAAATCGTCACCCTCTCCCAGTGTGGCCTCTTTTCATCTAACGAGGGCCCAAACTGGACCTGTGCCCCCTGTGCATTCCATCACCTGGTAGTGTTCACAGCTGCCTATGTCTTACCTGGATGAGACCATGATCTTCTAGTGGGTTCCCTGGCATAATCCACCCAGCAGCTAGCCTGAGCGTCCTATGTGACATCACTCAGACCCTACCAGCCCTTGTTTCCACCCTGGGAAGACTCCTTTTCCATGGTGGTGGCTACCAAATCCTTCCAGATCTTGACCATTATCACAACTGCTGCCTTCTCTCCTTCCTGGGTGTTCATTGCCCCAAACTTGAGCTCACACACACAGCACTTGGGTGTCAGCCACCCTGCCTCTCCTTAGCCACCCTTTGCCTATACAGAGCTCACCACCTGCTCCTGCAACCCCCACCCATGCGTGTAATGAGGGGCCCACCTCCCCACTTGCCTAGGCACATCCCCAGTCCATCTCAGCTCTGGATCTTCAGTGCCTAGAAGCAGGAGGTGCGTGGACATTTCTGGCAGAGAGAATGAGTAGGAACATGAAAAGTACACTTGTCTCAAAGAGGCAGCTACGGACTTAGAAAAGGCCAGAAACCCAGCCAGCCTCTGATCTCTACTTCAATTGGCCTCACTGGAGGTACTCTCCTGAGGTGGAGTTGGTGACTCGATCAGGCCAGGACCCTTTCCCCACAAGCCAAGCTGCCACTTCTGGCCTGACCCTTTGGGGAAGGAAAGCAAGGACCAACCCTGACACTTGCTTTCTAGGGAGAGAACACGTTCTTCTTGGTGACCAATTTTCTTGTGACACCAGAACAAGTTCAGGACAAATGCCCAGAGGTAAGGCTTCCCAGGAGCTCTCCAGCGGGCCCCTAGTCCTCTGCCAGCCCTGAGTCACCAGCCACATCACCCCAGGGAGCTCTCTTAGCTGAGAGTTCAGTATGTGCTACTGTATCCCAGGCACTGAGCTAAAGTCTTTTTGTGAATCGTTCCACTTAATCTTCACAAATATCCTGCTTGATAGGAATTACTGTGATCCTATTTAAGATGAGAAGACAGGGGGACGCCTGGGTGGTTCAGCAGTTGAGCGTCTGCCTTTGGCTTGGGGCCTGATCCCAGATGCTGGGATCGAGTCCCACGTCAGGCTCCCTGAATGGAGCCTGCTTCTCCCTCTGCCTGTGTCTCTGCCTCTCTCTCTGTGTCTCTCATGAATAAATAAATAAAATCTTTATCTAAAAAAAAAGATGAGAAGACAGGGTCTTGGCAGGGTAGACTCACATGCTCGAGGCTGCGCAGCCTCTGGACCTCTGAGCAATCCTCTGGAGCCTTCCACCGTAGCTCCCTGTGAGATGCCCAGGCCCCTTCCTGGCCTGGTCCCACCTCAGGGCACCCTCCAGGTTGTCAGTGTAACACCCAGAACTGGGTACAAGGCTCAGGTGAGCTCTAATAGCAAGAGGCAAGCTAGAAGATCACCTCCTCTTTTCTTTTTTCTTTCTTTTTTTTTTTTAAGATTTTATTTATTTATTCATGAGAGACACAGAGAGAGAGGGAGAGACACAGGCAGAGGGAGAATATTAACAATCATTTTCTACTATTTCCTCTATCTTTACACCTCACCCCCATTCTATTAAATTTTAACACCTCTATCTACTTTCCAAAACAAAAAAAAAAAAACAACAAAAACATAAAAACAAAAAAAACAAAAAAACAAACACAACAAAAAAAAAAAAAGACCTCAAAACAAACAAACAAATCTCTCTTTCATCTCCTTTTTCTCTTCTCTCTCTCTCTCCTTCTTCACCATTCCTTTCTACCATCTTTACCACCTCCCTCACCCCCATCTCCTCCTCACCTTCCCCCATCAACCATCAACTGTCGCCCCTTTATCAAAAACAATTAAAAAAATAGCCCTCAAAGTAACATACCTCTCAAACTCTCTCTAAAGAACTCGATAGATGCTGATCTTAGAGCTAGAACCATCTATTAAACTGAGAGATAGTAGATAGGATACTAGTCGAGATAGATAGATGTATCTGTTATCACAAAATCCTTCTCCACCCCCCCCTCATTCCTCCCTATTTTAATCACCTATACCTCTCGCAGCACTCACTGCACCCTGACCCTAATCATATATATCTCGCTAGACCACACCCCCAAAATCTATCTCCCCCCCCACTTCACAACCTAACTTCTTCTTATAATAAGAGGTGTATTTATCTGAACATTCAAATCAATTCATTTCATAGAGATCTGATTTCACAATTATAATTGTACTACTTGTGTGTTCAAATATAAAAAGTGGTTTTAAAACTATACTGACATGATATGACGCATCTCGTTTAACCAAACTAACTAATTAACTAATCCCACCCAAACTTATTTCCCCTTCTCCTCTCCCCCCGAATCAAGACTAATTCACAATCCTAAACTACCTTATACTATCCCCGTTAACTATCCACCTATTACCCTTGCTAAGTATTTCACCACATTGTACTCTCACTGCTTCTATACTTTAGAGTATAGTGATAGATATATTCTCTAACCTCCACGCCCCTACGTCGCGAATTTATTCCAACAACAATTTATCAAGAGAAATACCTCCCTACCATAAAAACATCAAACGCTTCACCTTACAATTTTTTTAAAGATTTTATATTTACCATCATTCCTCAGATGTATAGAGAGAAGAGAGGAACTCATGTGTGTGTGTTGACAGAGACCAGAGCACCCCAGGGATATATGTATATGTGAGTGGTAGATGAGTTCGCGATGTTGTGTGCTTCGGGAGCCTGACGTAGGACTCAATCCCAGGTCTCCAGGATCACACCCTGGGCTGAAGGCGGCGCTAAACCACTGAGCCACCCAGGGATCCTTGTTCTTACCAATTTTTAAGCATATGGTTGTCCAGCTGTGGATTTTGTTTGAGCAGCTGGGACCCAGGACATAACCCTGGAAGCTTACCTCCATGGTAACCTCTTTTTTTTTTTTTTGTAACCTCTTTTTTAAATGAAGCCTAACATTAGATTGCTTATGGGGCTGGAGAGTAACTGTGTGGTCCCCTGTTCCCTCTGTCCTGGTTCTTGGTGCCACCACAGATGCTAGGGGTGTCATATGTCCCAGGCTGGCCCCACCCACAGAGGAGGTGAAGCATGTGGACAAAGGATGTGCAAATGCACATGGTGTCCTTCCTTCTCTAAATGTTCCGAAGACATCTAATTAATCAGATCGGTTTATAGGCTGTCCTGAAATTCCACTGAAGCCATCATTCCGTGTGTTCTGGAATCTATGTGATTCCTCTTTGCCTCCTGTCCTGGCTCTGAGCTCTTCCCAGGAAACTTCTGGGGCTGGGAAGCAATTCATCAGATCGGGCCACGAGGCTTCCTGAGACTAGCCAGGGTTCCTGCTAGCTCCTCTCAGGGGTCCTGGTCCTCTGGTCCCTCCCAACACATGCACTGTTCTCCTTGGAGAGTCAGGCCATCAGCAAACACCTGCTGAGTCTCTGGGCAGGTTGGGGTGGGGTGGAGGTGGGGCAAGGCCCCATGCTGAGGATGCAAAACTCCACCCCTTGTACCTCAAGCAACCTGCAAAGGCAGCCCAGCCAAGGTAGCAGGTCCTGTGATATGGCCAGAGCTGTAGCTGGAGACGCAGGGAGGCGTGCCTGCCAGCCCAGGGCCTCAGGGAGGGTTTCCCACAGGACTCGAGTCTCAGGTGGGATCTTGAGAATGTCCAGGCAGAGGCAGCTGTGTGAGCAAAGGCCCCAAGCTATGTGAGATGAGGCTCCTCCGGGGTCACCTGCTACGGAGTGGGGTTGGAGCTTAGACTGGGATTGAGGTGGCAAGGCGGTGCAGGTAGCCCAAGATCTCAGGGGCCCTGTGTACTCTGAGTACTGTACACAGAGTACTCTGTGTACTCTAAGTAGCTGAACTTGATCACAGGAGCGTGGCGGAGCCAGGGATGGTCTCTGCTGAGTGAATGGAGGCAGATGATGCAGAGACCAGGCCCTGTGGTGGTCACCATGGAGTCGGATAGGAGGGGATGGTGGCCCAACCAGGCTCAGAGAGGAAGGGCGGACTCAGGACACAGGTGGCCCCACTCTGTCCTCTGCCCCCTTATCGTGGTCCCGACCCTCCACGGTCTCCCTGTCTCACCTGGCTCGGACTCCCTGAGCCCTTCTCGCCACCCTGGCACTGTGCTCCTCCAGCTGTTCGTGAGTTAGGTGACCTGAACAGTGGTGTTCATTGTCAGCCTGGGGCAGAACTGTGTCTGTGGGACTGTGCCTTCCTCTTCAAGGGCCTAGGGCCCCCGGAAAGCATGCCACCCCTCCCTTTCTGTCAATCCCTTAGAATACTGGGAGTGTGCGGGCCCTCGTGGCAGGTTTTACAGAAGAAAAAGCAGGAGAGGGACTAGTCTGTGGTCCCTCAGTTCTGTGCTGCTACCTACTTCCCCACCCAGACCCCTGCAACCAGGGGCCTGCCCTTCGTTCACCGCACCCAGGACCTCCACCCTGGCACAAAATTGCCCTTCCCAGAGTCCCTTCACCTTCCTAGTTCTGTCATCTAAGTGGGACTAGAAGACCTGGGCCTCTGGAGGGGAGATAACTCAGAAACGAAGGAGGCTTGCTCTGCCTTGGATACAGCACCTGCATCCCTAACTGGCTCGGGGACCATCAGCACCCTCCTCTGACCACATCCTTTTATTTGTACCCTCCAGCTTGCCCATGTGCCCCCTGAATTCAGGCATCTCTCTGGGGCTAAGGCTGGAGGGTTGTGTCCCTGTAGGCTTCAGGGCTGGGTCACAGAGGGGAGACACTCCCTGGGCCCTTGGCAATTCTGCTTCCACCACCACACCAGCACCCCTCCATCCCGCTGGCTAATTGCTGGGCCGACGAGGACTGTCCTGAAGGGGAGACGGGGACTCACAGCCACGGTAACTGTGGGCCCTGTCCTCTGGGTTGGGGCTCTGAGGCTGGGACCCTGGGTGGCTCTTGAGAGCAGGCCTGGTGGTGCCTCTCCATCTCTCCTTTCTGTCGATGCCCAACACCCTCCCCCCGCCCCGGGCCTGTGGAGACTTGGAGGCCTGGAGTTTGTCTTGTGTTTTCAAGGCATAAAAACAGGCCAGTGTGTGGAATTCAACGGGACCCACAGGACCTGTGAGATCCAGGGCTGGTGCCCCGTGGAGAGCGGCACTGTGCCCGTGTAAGTGTCCCCTCCGCCTCCAGGGTCGGGCCCCAGAACCACAGGACATGCCCTTCACGTGCCCTCTGCCCGCAGGAAGCCACTACTGGTCCAGGCAGAGAACTTCACCCTGTTTGTCAAGAACACAGTCACCTTCAACAAGTTCAATTTCTCCAAGTAATTGTGGGTGGGTCCTGTGGGTCCCAGACCTTCCTTGTCGCTACCTGACCTGACCCCCCTCCCCCGCACTGTACAACCCCCCCACCACCACCCCCCAGGTCCAATGCCTTGGACACCTGGGATGCCACTTACTTCAAGCGCTGCCGCTACGACTCACACTACAGCCCCTACTGCCCTGTGTTCCGCATTGGGGACCTCGTGGCTGCAGCTGGAGGGGTCTTTGAGGACCTGGCGTTGCTGGTGAGTCCATGGGGGGAGGCTTCCAGAGGGCTCAGGGGGAGGGCCCAGGGCCTGAGTGCTGGTGAAGCAGCGATGTGCTGTGTGCAGGGAGGTGCTGTGGGAGTCCGAGTCCACTGGGATTGTGACCTGGATGCTGGGGCTTCCGACTGCCGGCCCCATTACTCCTTCCAGCTGCAGGATAGGAGCTACAATTTCAGGTGCGGCCCCCACTGCCCTCCTGCTGCTCCCTGTGGGCTCTGGCCTCCGCCTGTCCTGTGGCAGCCAGGACCCACCGTACCCGGCCCAGCTCTCTGGACACTCCCTTGTGTGTGTGAGGAGGCCCCCGGGGCAGGAGGGGTGATCTCAGCTCTGGGTCCCTTGGGCTCTGTCCAGCCTCTCTCCTGAGCTGGTCCCTCTCTGTCCCTTGGGACTCCCCACCCCAGCCCCTCCCCCACCCTACCCCACCTCTGGTATCTCCCTCCTCAGCACAGGGGGGTTTCCTTTTTAATTTAAGGCTAAAGCCTTAGCTTTTAGCTAAACAATTTCAAAAACCTATAGAAAAGTTCAAAGATTAGTACTGTGAACACCCATACCCATTTACTCTTTATCTGGGCTTTTAGGTTTTATTTTTTGGGGGTTTTTTGGGGGGGTTATTTTTCACCATTTTGCCACATTTGCTTTCTCTCTCCCTCTCTAGAGTGAGCAGATATATTTAGATAGATTTCAAAGGAACCATCTGAAAATGAATGGTGGACATCTGACACCCTTCGTCCCGACACTGTTGAGAGAATAAGGACCTGCCCCACATGACTGCACATTGCCACACTCTAAGAGCTTGACATCGGCAGGATAAATCTAATATTTAACTTTCCCCAACTATGCCAATAATAGTCCTATATCTTTGTTAAAAAAGATTTTATTTATTTACTTGAGAGAGAGAGAGCGTGTGAGCAGGGGGAGGGGCAGAGAGAGAGAGAGAGAAAGAGAGAGAGAGAGAAGCAGACTCCCCACTGAGAAGGGAGCCTGACATGGGGCTCTACCCAGGACCCCAGGATCACGACCTGACCAAAGGCAGACGCTCAACCAACTGAGCCACCCAGATGCCCCATAGTCCTATATCTTTTTATTTTCCAAAGCAGGATGTACTCAGGGATGTTACATTGCATTTATTATCACATCTTGGAGTCTCTTAAATAGATCTCCCCCACCCTGCTAGAATCCTCCTGTCACTTCCTGTCACCTGGTCATTGTCACATATATACACACACAGCCCCCAGGCCTGGAGATGGTGCCTCTTGACATTGCTCAGTGGGCTTTTCCTGGTCTGGCTTCCCTGGCTTTCCCAGCCCTTTGCAACTTTTAGAGGCTAGCTCCCTGCCCACACTCTGCTTTCCACACTCCTGTGATCTTACCTGTCCTACTTTCTCTGCCTAGAGCACTCCTTCCTGACCCCTGAAAGACCAGCCTGAAAGTGTACCCTGCAGAAAGCCTTTCCCAGTTCATAGGGGAAAGTGGGTTCCCCCTCACCCTTTAGACTCATGGCCCAGGGCTTGGCTCCCTACCTGCCCTCACCCCCACTACCAGTGCTGGTGTAGGGACCCATCTGTCCCCTCTGCCCCCCCAGCAGGCAGGGAGCTTCCAAGAGGCAGGTGGGTCCCAAGTTGCCTTTCCCTGTGTCCTCAGCAATGACACGGGGCTGAACAGCTGGGGCTGGAGATTTATAGAGTCAATGGATGAGTAAGGAGGCCTGGGAAGGCCAGCCCAGCCCAGGAGTGGCAGCAGGCAAAGCACCAGACCTCCTTTCCTGCCTTCAGGACAGCCTCTCACTGGTGGAAGGCCTCAGGTGTGGAGGCCCGGAGTCTGCTCAAGCTCTACGGGATCCGCTTTGACATCCTTGTCACTGGGCAGGTAGGAGGTGCTGGCTGAGGGCAATGGGTGGTGGGGGTGGGAGGGAGACAATCGCCACCCCAGAGGGTCAGTCCAGGTTGGTCTCAGGCAGGAAAGTTCGGGCTCATCCCCACGACCATCACTCTGGGCACCGGAGCAGCTTGGCTGGGTGTGGTGAGTCTGGGCAGTGTGGGCTTCCTCTGGCTGCAGTGACTGTGGGTCCAGGCCCACCCAAGGGCACACCTGGGCACCCCCCACTCCCGCGCTGTGCATGATATGGAGTCTCGGGGTGAGGGCTGGGGAGGCGGCAGAAACAGGGCCGAGGGGCAGGACATAGGTGTCCTCTGCCTCTCCAGATCACCTTCGTCTGTGACCTGCTGCTCTTGTACGTGGATGAAGAAGCCCATTTCTACTGGAGTACCAAGTATGAGGAGGTGAGCTGCGGGCCCATCCAGACCTAGGGTTCTGTGACACTTTGGAGGATGTTGACTGAGCCCTGATCTGATGTTCTCATCTGTAGGCAAAGGCCCCGAAGGTGACCACCACCCCTGAGCAGACAAAGCCAGCTTCTGCACCCCCCGCATGCGGCTGCCCAGGTGTCTTAGAGGGGACCCAGTCTGGGAACCAGACACCAACAGCAGAGTGGCCGTGCCCGGGCTCCGGCCCCCCCTCACCGGCCTGTTCCTGAGGCCTGTGGCTGTTTGCTGCTGGGTGCAGGGTGGGGGCCCTGTCTTGGGGACCTGCTGGATAAAGCCCCAGCAGGACTAGGGTGGGGGGTCGGGGAAGAATCCCATCCTTCCACTCTCAGACAGGCTGTCCCTCCCCTGACACCAGCTTCAGCAGGGTGCTGCCTGGGTTGCTACAGAAACCAGTTTTGCATAGAGACCCGCAGCAGAACATGAGTCAAGGAGAAGGGGAGACCCTAGGGCACCAATGTGGCAAAGCAGTGGTCCAGAGGGGCTCCTGCTATATCTAGGTCTAGAGAACTCTCTCCCAGTCTCTGTCACCATCAGTGCCCAGCAGCGGCCTGCTCAGCAGCTGTCAGCACCGGCCCTCCCACTGGCTGTAGCAGACTCCAACCCTCCTTCCTCTGCTGAGACTCCTATTGTAGGCAGAGCCCCTCTTTCTCAGCTGTGTTGCACTGGGGTCTAAGCAAACTGGAGTCTGAAGCAAGGTAGAAAGAAGCCTGACTGGAGGGGTTGTTGTCTCAGCTGCTCCAGTGTTGGGTTGCCTAGGGCAGGTTCCTACCCAACTCTGGGCCTCATCCATGGAATGAAGAGTGGGTAGACAGATGATCCAACCCCTAGGAACCTCAAGCAAGGGCACATCCTTTGGTCTCACACCTGCTCAGTTTATGAGCATCAGCCCCTCCCTGGTGGTAGCCCTCAGGCTATGGGGCTTGGGAGAGGGAGGAGAGGGTGGGGGGAGCTGAGATGGTGGTTACTAGGGCCTGTGGGATCTTCTGTATGCCTCTTCATTAACCGTCCCCACATACACACACAAGCCCAACCCCTAGAATCTGCTCACCGGACCCATGGGGGTAGGAGCCTGTACATCTGGAATTCAGCGCTACCTAGGGTCATATCTAAGAATGTGTCAGGACATCTGCTTGTCCCAGCCTCAGGCAACTGCATTCAGGTGGCTTTGGTCATAACCCCCCACCCTAGAGCCCAGTGGCTGGAAGGAATGTCCCTAACAAAGGACACAAAGGCTTCCAGCAGGCTGGCTTGGTATCACACTGGAGAATTTCCCTTGCCCTGGAGTCCCCTGCCAGGACTCCCTGCCAGGAGGGGAGGAACAGGGGCTGCAGGAGTCAAATGCCCTGTGGTTCCAGGGCAGAGGCAGGAATTTGGGAGTACCCACCCTAGGGAGGTAAGGGGCTTCTCTCTCCTGGGTCTCTGGTGACCAAGGGTGTGCTGGCAGCTTGGTGGTGGAGCAGCAAAGACCAGCTGGGGAGGGCCAGGGCTGGGGCTCAGGCTGGACTAGCATCTGGAATCATCTGACACCTGGAGCCTCAACAAAGCCTTGGGCTCCCTGCTGCTTCTCAATCCCCAGAGCAGTGTCCATGGGGAGGCAGGTTCAGAAGAACCAAGGTGAGAGAACATGGCTCTGAGGCCTGGTTATCGGAGTGGGGTCACATGTACCTAGTTGTCCTCGGGGTCCAGAGAAAGCTGTCATAACTACAGAAAGTCAAGGAGTAAAGCCTGCTAAAACCAGCAGCTTCCTGTGTAGTCTTTACAGGCAGGGGTGGGGAGTTGGAAGTATCTATGATGGGCACAGTATGGCTTTAGGGAGACCAGTGGGCCTGGAGGTGCTTGAAGCAGGCCCAGGAACTTGTACATCTGTACACAGGTGTGTATGCCATATTCGTATGTACCATCCTGAGCCGTTATTGCAAAGCCTTTGAAGGAAGGGGGAGAGAGAGAGGAGTGCCAGCTGTGACAGCTAGACAGCTGTGGCCAAGGCCTGAGGTTGGAAACAGCTGTTGCCTCAGTCTGCATATGAGTGTGCATCACCAAGGCAGGCATGTGGCCATGCCCATGCAGTGTGCCTCTACATTCCCAGGCAAGCCTCAGGGACATGCTACGCTTTCTGGGAGCCTTGGGAACCCAAGAGGACGCTGGAACTCCACTGCCCTTTCTAGGCGAACTTTTCTGGGGCCCAGGCTCTGCTCTCTGGATCCCCCTGCCCAGGGGACACGTAGGGAGTCTGTAGGGGGAACCTAACTCTGCCCTTTTCACAGACGCCTCTTCCCCTGGTGTGTCCCCTGGGCAGAGGGTACCAGCCTGAGGGCAGGACCCCAGGACCCAGGCCAGGAGCTGTCTGTGATTCAGGGTTGTCCCAAAGCTGGTGCCTCCCTCTTGCCAAACCTCGGCATCTTTGCTGTGGTTAGGGGACAATCAGTTGGCTCCCAGGGACAGAAAAGCACTCACTCAGTGCCACAAAGAACACAATGGTGGATGCAGCAGCAGATCACATGGCTGGCCAAGAGGTTATTATTGTGGATATCTGGGGCTGTGGGCCTCTTCCCGGCCCACCCCAACCCACCTCAGCCCACCCCATCTGCCCAAATAGCTGTAGTTGTTCATGAACAGGAAGATGCTGGGCAAAGTACTCACCCTACCAGTACTGGCCAGGGCCCACTCCCCAAAACCCAAAACCAGGCACTTGGGCTAAGGCCCTAAGGTCTCGAGGACCCCTCTCAGCATGGGCAGGCCGGCAAACCTGAGCTGGCTCAGATAGAAGGGTCTCCCAGCCCCTCTGGGCCCCCAAGGAGGTGGGGTGGGCAGAGCAAGTGTGGACAGGTCTCCAGCTCAATTCATGGACTGGTGGGCTGCTCTGTGGGGCTGGGCTCCTGGGCGGGGGGCTGCACCGTCTGTACAGACTCCTCCAGGTTGGTGCTGGGGAACACCACGTAGTGTGAGGTGGTCAGCTCTGGCGGCTCCTGCCGGTTCTGTTTGCTGTGCCAGATGCCATAGCAGAAATACACGGCTAGTCCTGCAGGAGTTGTGGGAGACTGAGGGGCAGGTCCCAGCCCTGCTCACCCTCCTTGCCTTCCTGCGGTCCACTGAGAGCCCCAAGCCTAATCCCCCACTCACCGATCAGCAGCCAGATGGAGACACGCACCCAAGTCAAGTAGCTTAGCTTCAGCATGAGGCAGATATTGAGGAGAATGCTCAGGGCTGGAGTCAGGGGCACCATGGGGATCTGACAAGGCAAGAACAGGGCGGGCGGGGCTGTAGGGAAGGTCTGCTGCGCAGGGCCTGGTTTGTCAAGCGTCCACTTTGCCATGCAGAAAGAGAGGAGGATGGGTGCACGGGCCTCCCCAACCCTGTGAGCCCTGGTTCATCCTGCCACAGCAGAGGAGGAAGGGGCAAAGCGAGCTAGCTGGATGACAGGCAGCGGGCATTGGATAGGGAAGGTACCTGGAATGTATCTTTCCGCTGTTGCTCGTGGACCCCCAGGACGAAGAGGCTGAGCAGAAATGTGACAGAGCTGAGCAGCAGGAGCAGGATGTAGCCCCAGTTTGGGAGGTGCAGGACTGAATCCCCGAAGACCAGTACACAAGCCAGGGTGATGGCCGAGGCCACCAGGATGCTGAGTGCCCAAGCCACAGCAGCTCCAGGGCTGCACCTACCTAGGAAGCCCAGGTAGGGCCTCAGGGCTGGCCGCAGCTGCCCAGGCTCAGAGGCTGAGGCCTGATTAGTGCCCACCAGCTGGGTGTGGTCTGAGAAAGAGTGGTACTCTTTGACCCTGGGGCTAGGGCTGGCTGGGCTTGGGGAACTGGATGGAGGAGACTTCTGGAAGCGTAGCACAAGAATGCTGGTGGCCACGAAAGTGTAGGCCAGCAGTGTGCCGATGGACAGGAACTGAACCAGTGCCTCGAGGTCCAGCAGCAGTGCCAGTAAAGACATGAGGCTCCCAAACACAGTGATGCCCGCCAAGGGCACCTGTGTCCGGGGGTGCACTCGGGCAAACACCTGGAAGAAGAGCCCATCGACGGCCATGGCGTAGACGATGCGTGGCAGGGAGAAGAGGCTGCTGAGCAGGACAGTGTTCATGGCTGTGGCAGAGAGTGGAGAACTGGTCAGCATGGTGGACAGGCCCACTAGGGGCCTCTGCTGGGAGCCAGGGCATGCCCCCAACCCTGGGGAACACCAACAGGAGTTTGTCTGGGTTATCAGAATGAGCCTGAGTGCATGTGGGGTGTTGGATTGTTACCTCACCCCCCAAGAATGGGACACCCTGGTTTAGGTGACAGGCCCATCAGAGAATCTGATGAGCAGTGGGTCCTTCTCCCAGGAAAGGACTTGCTCAGAACTGACATTTTATGTACAATTGGGAGGGGGCAGTGAACGGGGCCCTTCCAACAAGACAAGAGAGTCTCATGATTAGCACCTTCCTGGGCCCGTTATGCAACTGGAAAAAGACCCAGACGGAGAAGCCTAGGGCAGCCCCGGCCCTGCTCACGCCCCCCTTGCCTGATCGGGGCCCTTACTGCAGATGGAGCCGGCCGCCACGATGAAGCCCGCCCAGCTGTAGCCCCGCCGGTAGAAGGCGTCGGCAAGCGCGGAGTTGGGGTTCAGGCTGTGCCACGGCACCATGAGGGTGAGCACGGTGGAGACGAGGATGTAGGCGCCGGCTGCCAGGCCAAGCGAGATGGAGATGGCTATCGGCACGGCTCGCTTTGGGTTCCTGGCCTCCTCGCTGGAGGCGGCGATGACATCGAAGCCCACGAAGGCGTAGAAGCAGGTGGCGGTGCCAGCCACGATGCCCGAAAAGCCAAAAGGCGCAAAGCCACCCTCCTCAGCACTCCAGTTCTGCGGGCGGGCCAGGATGAAGCCCAGGATGATGATAAAGAGGATGAGGAGCAGGCTGACGACGGTGAAGGTGTGGTTGAGCCAGGAGGAGACCCGGGCCCCGCAGGAGATGAAGGCGGAGGCCAAAAGCACGATGGCAGCAGCCAGGAAGTCGGGGTAGTGGGCCAGCAGGGGTACCTGCCAGGTCCCGATGTGGGCCTGGGTGAAGTTGTGGATGCGGTGGCTGAACATGGAGTCCAGGTAGCCGCTCCAGGCGCGGGCCACGGCTGCTCCCCCGATGAGGTACTCGAGCAGCACATTCCAGCCGATGAGGAAGGCCCACAGCTCGCCCATGGACACGTAGGTGAACAGGTAGGCCGAGCCCGTGCGGGGTAAGCGTGCCCCGAACTCCGCGTAGCACAGGCCTGACAGCAGGGAGGCCACGGCGGCCAGAGCGAAGGACAAGAGCACCGCGGGGCCGGCCATCTCCTTCGCCACGGTGCCTGTGAGCACATAGAGGCCCGAGCCCACCATGCCACCCAGGCCCAACAGGGTCAGGTCCAGGGTAGACAGGCAGCGCTGCAGGGACGTCTCCATGGCAGACTCCTCCAGTGGCTTCAGCCGGTTCAGCTTCTGGCAGAAGCGTGCCAGGCTGGCAGTGCTGGGCAGCCCCCTGGCCATGGTGGGCGGCGGAGAGGAGCACCAAGGCAGCTGCGGGCACCTACCAGGGGCTGGGGGGGAATGACAGATTGCCCAACCAGGTACCAAGCAGGCTTCAGTCCGTGCTGTCCCTTCCCCTGGGGACCCAAGTGCCTGCGCAGCTAGGTCGCCTGAGGGCTGGGATGGGTCAGGAGTGGGCAGGAGGTCACAGGGAAGCATGGAGGTCCTGCCTGCCTCCGGCCAGGTGAGGGAACCTTGTGCAGTCCGACCTGGGCGCATTTGGGTGGGGAGGCCTGAGCGTGGAAAGGGTGCAGCTCTTGGAAGTGGGGTTGGGAAACTGCTCCTTGGTCTGGCACCCCAGAGCAAGGTGGAAACCCCAGGCTTCTCGGGAGCTGAGCCAGGCCTCCAGGCCTCCAGGACCCGGAACAGGAGGGGCTCTGCTGCCCTGGGCGTGAACCAGGCAGCCACCTGGCCTGACAGTGGCACTCACCACCAGCACCCGCCCCCCCAGCCCCCCCCCCCCACACAGGCACACGCGCACGCACGCGCGCGCACACACACAACCCCGTCGGTCGGGGCCTGGGTATCTGCGCACCCGGCCAGGAGGCGGGACGCTCCTGGCTCGGCGCCCCGAAGCCAAAGCTCCGTGCCCTGCCCCCGCCCCGACAGGCCACCTCCGCCACCGCCACCGCCACCGCCGCCACCGCCGCCAAAGCTAGAGCCAGAGCCAGAGCCAGTTCCACTCGGGTATCCAAGCCTTTGCCTCCTCTCAGGCCAGACTACGTACCTGCAGGAGTCGCTGAGACTCACCTGCTGTCCCTGCTGCCGCTGCTCTGCGCGCTGTGCCGGCCCTGCCTGGGTGGCGCCGCCTGCTCCCAGAGCCCGCCCCCACTCCTCCTGCGCCAGATCCAGCGAGGCCCCACCCACCTCGCTGTCACACCAGTACCCAGATAGCCCACCAAACCCTTACCTCACCCGACAGAGACCTGAGCTCCCCGAATCTGGAGAAGTGTGACACTATTCCTGTGTCTTATTCACAGATGAGGAGGCCCAGGACACCAGGTAAGCGACTAATCCAGATCACTGGAGTGGCCTTGGGAGGCAGGCAAGGTTAAGGACCAGGTCTGGAGGGATCTGGAACCCACCAGCTTGCCACTGCTGCAATAACCCTCTTTGATTCTTCACCCCAGCATACGTACTCCATTCAGCTGTTTTCTAAGAGTAGATCTTAAGTGTTCTCACCCCAAAAAAGTAAATATGCGATGCAATGGATGTGTTAATGTACTAGATAGGAA